GGCAAATTATGTTGTAAGCCGCACAATTGTACAATAAAGCGATCGCTCAGGGCGACAAACGGGTCAAATGAGCGGCGAGTTGACAAATTTCCCTGCCCAAACCGAAGTGGAAAGAAAGTCGAGCCAAGTGGCGGAATTCCAGTGACCGAAATGGGGAAAAAAGAAAAGCTGGGCGGAAAATGGCGAGTGAAAAGTGTGGAAAATATAGCAGTGCCAACTATGTATTGGGGATCTGGTTTTGAACAATTTTTAATTAATATGTACTTAATTACGCGCAAAAACAATTCAATAACAAACGCTTCTTGCTACCTAAAATATTTGGAACTGTCTCTTTGTAATATGGCCTATTTATTTATCTCTGCAGGAAAAAGACCAGTAAAAACCAAAGACGACACGCAAAGGAAAGCCTCATGAATCATATGCAGAGTGACACAGAAAACGCGACGCTCGACACTTTTGCCACAATCCCAGTTTGGGGCCAATGCCAAATAGCCCCCCTAGAACTTGGCCATAAACAATCTTTCCTGATTTGTTGCTGTTTTGGGGGCCCAAAGGGCGGTGGTGGGGGCCAAACTCACGCAGCGCCGAAAGGTAAATGACCAAAAGCCATCGAGTCGACGAGAGTTGGCAGTCATTTGTGTCGTGCCCCCCAAATGGATTAATCGCGGGAGGTTTTATTGATGATCGAAACGTCGTTTGGAGGACATTGCCATGTGGAATTAATTGTTACTTGATTTATGCAATACCTGTGTGCTTTCGAGGGGTTCTTAACGCCAGGAAATTGATGGCAGTGAGTTAAGTTAACAAGCTATCAACTAGGCTAATCTACTAGCTGTAGTGGGAGTCGATCATTTGGCTGGGCATGAATAGGGTAGGGCAGGGTAGCAAGTGGTTAATGTAAATATCCAAATGATATAGTAATATAGACTGCTATGAGCTGCAGTTTCCCGCTTCCCGCTTGCAGTGGCAGCAGTGACCTGACCCCCCAAGCGGATTATTTCGTAATGGCCGAAAGCAATCGATAAGTGCCACGTCAGCTCATTCGGGTGTTTGAGTACTTCAGTGGCGCTGCGAAGCGCATCCAAAGGGTGCTAGAAGCCCCATTGTTTTTGGCCTTAAGTGGAATTTGGGTTTCTCTTTGGCTCGAGTTGCCCCACCTCCTCCGCCGCCCTGTGGACTTATCTAATTTGCATAATTTCGCACGCGAAAAACACTGAAATTATATTTCTATTCACATTTTTTTCGGCATGCAAATTGAAAATTGATTTTCGCGTTGCGCAAAATCATAGGTGCCGAAGGTTATTTGTGGCGAATTGCAGTTTTCCTGTTCGAGTGTCGGCTGGGCGCATAAACCATACTTTATGGCCATAAACATGCGTTTATTGAGTTTGGGCACATCGAGAGTCCCATTTTGATTGGCTTGATTGGCAGTCAGTTTTCGAGTCTCGAGTCTGGGGTGAATGATTGATTTATGAACTGATTGATGTGAGCTGCTGTTGCGTAATTTACATAATTTGCCCAGCAACTGCAGCCTCCAATTGAGGCCACTTTGTGGAGGCCGCAGAGAATATTCCCATGCCACCGGCTTGACCTGCCACCCACGCCTTTATTAACGCCTTCCCTCTCAAAATCGGCGAATTGTGCCAAAAATATGTCAGTATATGAGTCCGAAAACAGGGCTACGCCCACCTCGAGTGCCTAGAATGCCTGGGGCCAAACGTAAACAAAGCGTGCCCCAAAATAGCTCTCCACAAGGAGCGATTAGCAGTTGGGGCTGTCGAACGTGAGCCGAACGAACGCAGCCATCTCCCGCATTTTGATGATGATCCCCAGCTCCCAGTTCCAGTTCGAGTTCCCAGCCTGCGTGACACTTTTGCCAAGCGACTGGGATGATCAAGGCATTCTCGGCGAGAAGCCGGCTTATGGCTAATGGCTAATGGCTCACACCCGCCAGGCGCACTTGGCATGGCGAATGGGCGATGGAGCCACAGCCGGCTGAAACTAATCTGTAGACAATTAAGGCGGAGGTTGGCAGTGCATAACTCAAATTAATTTGCAACATGTGTGCCATCCAGCTAATTAAGTTTGCCCACCGATGAATTTCAAAATAATGAGCTAAGGGGTCCGTGAATGAACTTTTTGAATCGCATTATGTACATACATATGTGTAAACCAGCTACTAGATTGTGTGTATTATGTGCGAGCCTGCAAATGTAAAATGGGAAAGTGTTTCCAATGCATTTTACCACTCTGCTTTTGTTTCGCAGTGTACCGAATTCGTTGCAGCCATAAACTCAATAATTAAATCGGCTGCAGGTTAAAGAGGCCATTAAAAGTTCGATGGAAAAGTACGCCGCACCACAGCGGACGGAAGACCCTGCTGATAAGGCAGAAGCTAATGGGGAATGTGGGTGAACTGGGAACTGGGTGTTCGCTTTCGGGGAGCGGGGGGCAGTGCACTGGTAGTACACATACATGGGCACACGTGCATGTAGGCATATCTCATTCAGCTCACTTTCACACAAACAAACGAAAGGCAGCAAACAAAGGCAAACAAACACGAGGCAGGCGAACGTGGAAACCCGGCAAACAGTTACAGTACGTACATGTATTTATGTAGGTGAGGGCTCAGTAAACACAGTGAACACTGCCTGCAACCGATATTGTGGCTGCCCAAGAGCTTATCTCCTCTTACTTTGTGTGTAAGCAATAAGTAAACAAAGAAGTCTGGCTGTTTATCGATACATTCGAGTCTTATCTAGACCTATGACAAAAGCCGAAAAACTAATCAAACTAAACTAACATGATGTGCACTATCATGAACGGGGAATCCAATAAGAATGTGAAATGTTTGGTATTAAATGGCAGTGACTCCACCCATCCGGTAGTGGTACTAAGCAGTTGGCCATAGCTGTGCCTTGCAGGCCACGGAGATTACGAAGGGTACGAAGGCACTTTCGCATATCTCTCGAGCATACACACACCCACACACACACAGCTGTTGGCACTGCGACTGATTAACTAATTGGAAATATGTTTTGCATTGTTTTTCGCTTCTGTCCGCTCTTTCGCTAATGGAAATGCAAATGCAAATGGCAACGATAAGCGGGAGACGGTAGCGCTCACTTGCCGCCCTAACGGTAAAAACACTTGTAATTGCAATTGCTGCGGAGAGTCAAGTGTCAGCTGTTTGCTCTCCACCTCTCCTGTTCCTCCTGTCTCTTTCACCCGCCCATTGCGGAGCCCGCAACATGGCGTCATGTCGGCGGCATCCCGCTCGCACACACACTGAGAAGAAGAGAAGCATGTGTGGTCGCAACAAATGCGACAATTAAAGTAAGTGAGGCTTGGCGAGCTGTTGTAAATTACAGTGTGGCTGCGGAGAATTAGAGGGAAAACGAATTCTGGGTCAGCGGTGGAAATGAGCTCATGTGCCACGTACAGTGGTCACTGGTCAAGAGGAACCCCAGTCAACTGATGGTCAAAGAACACCAATCCAACTGGAAGTTTGTACTAGTTAGTAGGAAACTTCCTTCAATGGGTGCCAAAGTCTCCACTACTAAACGTATTTATGTTGTAAATTAGTCATTTGAATGATAATTCTATTTACCTCTGGCTAAGTTAACGAAATGATAACGCTGGCACTCTCGTATTTATGAGATAGGTAAACATAAACAATATCGCGTTACTGGCGCCGCTATATGAAATGGTATCCGTAATACCGCAGGCATTTTGGGCCAAAGGCGTATTGATTGATTGGCGAAAGGCGCTAAATTTACTAAGTCCTAAAAATAGGAACTTTGGCAACCTAGATTCCCAGAAACAATTGGGACTTTCCGCCGCACTCAGTGCGATATCGGGGTAATACAGCTTTACCAATAAGTTTGCATAGGTTTCCCCTGATTTGCCTTCGTACATTGTATGTGAAGTGCAGTATTTGGCTGAGATAAGGATAAGAAGTGCACCGAAACAGTGACGCAACGACAGCCGTCTGAGTCCATTGGCCACTTGACTTTTGGCCAAATCGGAATGCCCCCGCTTGCTAATGCGCAATCTTTTGGCTTAAGGTCCAGAAAACGGCAAGCAGAGTGTGCTAAGCGTATAAATTTAAACGCGCACAGCTGTTGGTATTTGAAAATCGACTGAGTCACTTGATTGCGGTTCGCAGAATTTCGTGTTGGCTTGATTGATTAACTTGCCCAACTTTCAGTGCGATGATGCTCTCACATACGCGTATGCAAATTGGGTTAATAACTTATTTCCATGTTTGCACTCGGTCTTAGATGACTTTTAGTTTCACAGCTCTTGCGGCCCAGTGGGTTTCCTATTGATTTTTCTCGTTTGCATGGGGAGAATGCAGCGAGCAGGCGGGGGGAAAGTGGGCGGGGGGCCGCCAAAATACGCGCTTCACATAGCGGCTTATTTGTTGTTTGCGGCTCACACAGATGGCGAAAGCCCGCTTGAATGTGTGTGTGAGCAAGAGATAGAATGAGAGAGAGAGAGAGGGGGCGCGGGAGAAGGCAAGGATAAGAGAGAGGGCGGAGTGTGTGGTAGAGAGAGAGAGAGGCTCCGATTCCTACCCCAATTCACGCCGCTGGCTCCAAAACAGCCCACGCATACACATGCAGGACGAGAACACAGCTGCAGCGGCGCTGATTTATTGATTTTTCCCCGGGATGCCATACTATTACGCTTTTCCAGCAATTACATAAAGTGTTACTGTTAATTTTTGGGGGCAATCAAATGAAAAGACGAGCAGAATTAGCCACAAAGAGTTTAAAAATAGACTTTCTCGTCCGCCCTTGAAACGTTTTTTTATCAACCGTTTCTTTTCTACCTGCCATTTGCACAACACACACGCACGCACACACACACACAGTTGCAGAGGCGGCCAAAAAGGAGGCGAAAAAGGAGAGAAGATGCCAAAACCCACACGAAAACAGCAAAACTCGGCGATTTACAAGATTGTGTGTGTATACGCATACTTGGCTTGTACTTACGTTTTTAGTTAGTCTGGTTAAAACAAGCTTAGTTCGCAGGAAATCGCAGGCAAAAACCTCGTTTTCATGTGTACTTCTTTTTTGATTAATTGGCCTTATTGCACGACACTTTCATTGGCATTTTTCTTTTGATTTCTTGTGGGGGCTATTTAATTCAGGACTAAACAGGATTTCTGCTTGCTTTTTTTAACTACGCGTTGTGGTTGTGGTGGTTGTTGTTGTTGGTGCTGCTCGTTGGGCAAAAAGAAAACTGGTTTTTCCGCACAACTTCGTTTTTTCGCTTGCGTGTTTTCTGAATTATCCGCCGTTACTCGCGCCAATTGCCTTTATGTTTGCAACGCGGCCGAACCGATCCTTTTATCAGGCAAACAGTTTAATATTCCTTCGGTTTCTTTTCAAAAATTAAACGCCGCGACAAAAAACGCGAGCGATTTCTGCGGTTTAAAGGGGTTCTGCAGTGTGACCGCAGCCGGAATGTGAAAAGTTACTGGCGGGCGCGTTAGAGGGACCGTTCAGCGTAGCCACTTAAATACCAAATAAGCACAGACTCAAACCATTTTCGGAGGTGTACAAAATAGGTGGCAACACTGGATGGATTCAATTTGAATATTGCATATAACGGTTTTAATATTTAAACTACTAAAAAGAGCGATATTTGTACTTTAATAAATGCAATATATACAAATAGAGCCGTTTGACAATTCAACTTTACAATTTAACGCATTTTGTAGATACATAAACTTACCACGTACCATTTTGAATGAAACAATACATGTAATTTATACATAAATGGATTTAGAGTACTTTATGACATTTACTTTATTCTCATTTCATATTATTAACGAAAAATGTACATAAAAACGTTGCTGCCTTGCTTTCCTTCACTTTGCCCCCGATAATTACACATAATTTGACATTTCCTACGCCTCTCACGCTCGGTTTCCGTTTCCGGATCCGGTCACTCCGCTGGTCCAGACACACACACACACACGTAATTTGATGGGAAGCCTGGCTAGTTATCAAAATACTGATCTCGACTGATTTCGGGTGGTGGCCAATGCTGCGGAACACTTCGTTTTTGTCTGTACAGGGTAAAATTCTTTTATACATTTCGAGCCCGGAAATAGTCGTATTACTTGGAATCTCATTCATTCAACTAACGAATTCGCTATAGGTTTGCTATGTATTGTGTTAAGTATGCATTAAAAATTAGCCTTGGCTTATAAATATTATAAATTTCTGTGTAGATTTTCCTCAGCTTTTCCGCCAGTTTATTGTAGAAGCAGCCTGTAGACGGTTCGTGAGACGCAAGAAGTGCATTTGCAGTTCGGTTTTCGCTATTTTTGATTTCTTCTGTTCAGTTTCTGTTTGGTTCGCTTTACAATTAAATTGCAAATTGTCAGACAAATTTACACAAGATTAATGGAATCGAAGCGAATCAAAATTACATATGCGGTGTAAAATTACAAAATACCTTTGTCGTATTTGGGCGATGGACACTGGATACTCGTGTGATCTATAGATAATGGTCCAAAATGCTTTACCTAAACATTGGGAGAATCATCAAATTGGTTGAAGCACAAGCGCATCGGTTAACAAATAAAATTATACCGAATTTATCTATAGACAACACTGCTCCAGCCACACACCGCACTTTACAGGGTATATCATTACGTTATCTTCAATTGCCTAATAGGTTGGGGTGCTCTCTAGCTGCTCGGCTACTTAAGATTATTGTACAAGCGACAGAATCAGCACACTGGATAGACGAAACGAAACCAATCGAATCGGATCCGAACGAAAGACTCAATTTTGTTAACAATAAGTGGGGCCATCATCCTAGCTACAGGCACAGGTGCCCGCTCTACTGGTACTCGTCGTCGCTGCTCAGCAGCATGGTCTTCTCGTTGTAGTTCTGGCTGATGGTCGCCACCCTCTGACCGCCGGGCTGGAACTTTCGCTGGTTGCCCAGCGTCTTGGAGGCCATGCAGTTGCTGCCGCCGTTGCCGCCAGATCCTGGTCCAGTGGCCACCGCATTGTATCCTCCGCTGGTGGGCTGCGACGCCTGCAATCCTCCTGCCGCTGCTCCTGCTCCCGAGCTGGGATCGTCGGGATCGTAGCTGGAGACGCGAATGCCGCGAGAGTTCTTGCCACCTGTGTGGGTGTTATTGGAGGGAATGCACTTAATCGTACCGGGTCACACGGTTTGAGGGTCTAACTTATTTACAAGGACCATTAGATCATGCCATGCTTGCAACCACCATGCCTCGATTAAGTTATTTCCCGAATAATTTGGTTGTTAGTTAGTCATTCTATATGTGATTCTCCGAAAGAAATCTTAATCGAGGCATGGGTGTGATATATATAGTTGGAATGAGGCCAATAAACATGCAACGAAGAAAACGAGTTGTCAAGCTTATCGTACATTTATTGCTAAGTATTTTAGATATTTTATACAATTGGTTTAAACATTTACAAACAGAAGTAAATAGAAGCACGACGAGAGCTTATCACAAAAAAGGTTGTCAAAAGGGGAAATCAAAATAAAAGAGGGAAAAACTTGGTTTTTGGTATCTTTGAGCGAAACGGAAATAAACACGTAAATAAATGCCGAGGGGAATCTAGCTTGAAGACCGCTTGAGTGGGGAACCTAGATCAGCGGCTGCCATTGTTGCATACAGTATAATAAAATCTTTGTTTACAAATACATAATATTGTACAATATTATAGTTCGTTTCGTACATAGCTAACTTCTAAGTTGTTTAAAAAACGCTTAAGCTTAGGTGTAGAGTGTAAACGTAGGAAATACAGAAACACAGACGCAGTGGCGCGCGGAAAACGGGGAACTCTAAATGCCCTGAACTCAATGGACTAAGGTAAGGCTAAGGTAATTTCTGTTCAGCTCTTTCAGCATTTTCAGCATGTGGTGTGAGTAAGTAAGTAGCTAGGCCTAGTACGTATCTCCTCTCTGAGTTGGGTTTTTGGGGGATACTTGGGGGCATGAGGCTAAGGCTATAAGTACACTTGTTTGCTTCGTTTTCGGATCGCGTCCCGCTCGGAAATGTGGTATTGTGATTGCAATTAGTGTTTAGTAGCGAGCATCGCTAGAGTTTTGCTTTTGATATTGATTTAGAGCTTTTCGTAACGCTGAGCCGAGGTTACTTCTGCAAAAGATAAGAAAACAAGAAAGAAAAACAAAAGTGTGAAAAACATAACGATAATGGAATGGTAATGCAATGGAAATATGCATCGAAATGCATTAAATGAGAGCAACGAACACAAGAGATAAGATAAGTTCAGCAGGCTCGATGAAAATAACGAAACATGCCACAGACACGAGCACAAAGAGAAGTTGGGCTAAAAAGTCGAGAAAGCGAATAAAAACCAACCTGAGCTGTACTGCGTGTACTGCTGGTACTGCGGATGGAAGTTGTGTATAGCATCTGTCATAATATCCTTGGGATTCATCGTTTCCTGCGGGACGAGGGGGTTTTACACACGGAAAATCTCAGGGAAAACTGTGAGCTTACCTTAAGACTGCTGGAAATGGACTGCATGGTGACAGATCGTCCGTGGCCATCGCTGATGCAGCTGCGTGCGTAGACCTAGAAAAAACATACATAATTAAAGTATCTGTTGCGATATGTTGAGCTGCGGTTTAGCTGATTTTTCTAGCCAAGTCAGCATTACACGAATACCTTGCAGCTATCTACCAAGTGTAAAGAAAGCCGCCTAATAAACACCGAAATAACCCAAAAAGCACTCATTCCAGCACTATCTAATCACGGAAAACCGTAAATACCTGCGTAAAATCTTGCCCACTCCGCCATTCCGGAACTCACCTGATAGGGGAATGCATAGCGCAGCGCGATGGCGGCGAACAGCATTTCGATGCAGATGAAGAAGTTCTGGTATCCGGCGGACACGGTACCGGGTTCCACGGTGACAGTGCCTGCACTGTCCACAATGGGCGAGATAACATTGGCCTTCTCCAGGATGGCCAGACCCACGCCCTGCCAGAAGGACAAGAAGATCACCGACTTGATGGTGCAGAACTTCAGCACGGGCTCGAACGGAGTCAGCAGATCACGCGTGGCGAAGTAGAACAGATAGAGGCCATATAACGCCAGCGACACGGAGATGTTGTAGATAATCGTGATATAGATGTAACCGCCATCAGCACTGCAATGTAGATAAGGAGGTATTAGTGTGATTAGCATGTGTACATCTTTCTTATTTACAGATTTACTGCAGCTGGCGTGCAACTATTTGGTAAAGATCAAACTTCACTTCACCTACGCAATACATATACAATTTATAGCGCACGCTCGCGATTTTTATGCCACCATTTAAGATGCAATAACCCGGGTCATTAAAGATAAGCCACATTACCTCCAATCGCCATCGTGGTAGTGACCAAATGCCTGCAGAAAGATGATGATGAAAGCCACCAGCGGCTTGACCAGGCAAAACTGCAGAGTGGCCTGCTTGCAGAAGCGCAGGAAGCCAATCGTGTAGGTCTTGCCCTTCAGGCAGCAGGTGCCATACAGACACGATGTCTTAATGGGCTTGCCGCGTATCTCCGACATAATGTTGCCCTCGCCGCCCAGGTACTCGTAGCACAGCGACAAGAAGTTGTAGATGACAAAGGCTGGATGGGAATGGGGTTAGCTATTAGTTGCTGGGCACAAATCGAGCCAAACGGGTTAGTCGAACCTTCGTAACAGTCGCGCACCGTGAAGAAGTAGATGTAAACGTTATCCGAGTTGAAGAAGAGCAGACTGATCCAGGAGTAGGTGGCATAGATGGGCACGATGAACAGGATGCGCACGATCCAGCGCTGCTCCTGCGGATTCGTGTACCAGCGCAGGTGCTGGTAGATCTGCCAAGGATATACATTAGTAAAGAAATCAGACCAGCGACGACTTAACTCACCTGTTGACATGTGATGAACAAGGCGGCCCAGACGCACACCCCAGCTAGCACCTGGGCGGTCTTTGTCTGCAGGAAGATGCCATCGCCCACGTGGAGCAGCGGGTCTAGCGGCGTGCTCATCGGAGCGTTCTTCACCTGCACCACGTAGTTGGGCTTCCCTGTAGCCGCAAGCGATCCCTCAGTCGTAGCCGTGGCGTTTCCACTGCTGGCATTTAGAGCCGCCTCGATGAGACTGGCGGCGGTTGTGCTCATGCTGCAATGGAATCCAAAACGATGGAGGACGGATTAGCGTGGGTGTATCTGGGCTAGGTTCAGGAGCCAGTTATGGGGCCGATTGAAGTGCTCAGCGCAGACAGCTAGGCAGGCAAAATGTTTACGTTCTCGTCTCGACTTTCACACGAACACTGCTCCAAAAACGACATTCTACTCAGAGACACGAAGCCCAATTTCAGCACGGCTGTGTTGAGCTTTTAGCTACAATATAGTTACAACGGATTTATTAAGCTCCCAGCTCGTAACTAATTTAAATCTAGTAGTAAATACCAATGTTTATATTTCCATATTTCGAATGCCTGCGAGTTATTTGCGCTTATATAAATGGTAAACAACACGCCTGGCAAAAATATGCGAATCAGTCATGTGCAGATGTTAAATAATAGTCGTTGAATAATTATGATTTGAAATATACAAATGTGCTTTCTCTGGGGTTTTAATGTTTATTATGAAGCTAAAGAGCAGGAGTTTTAAATGTTCTTAGCTTGCTAAATTATCTTTCATGTTGGCCCAAAATTTATGACAACACTGCAACAATGCTTGGACGGATTTGGGTCAGCAAGAAGCAAAGTGGGGAATGTGGAGCGACAGCAAAAACAAAAACAAACAAAAGAGTTGGCGGTGGGTGGTGAGATTCAGGAGCAGCGGGACAGAGGCGCGCGCATTAGATCATCACGCAATCCAATATTAATAATGGACTCTGGCGCAGCCAAGGAAAGTTATGGCCACCTCCACACCTTCCACCTTGTCTCAGGGTCACTTCCAACTGCTCCATATCGATTTCACCCGCCTGGGAACGCCAGCCAATCAATAGGCGCAAATAGCTGCAAAGCAGGCAGAATGAAGTACATATTTGATAGATCTTGAGGCAGTGGCGGTTCTGTGGGGAGCATCTGGTCGGGCAGCGAGTCCATTTGAGTGAAATCGCCTTAAAACAATCTCGAATGGGAAGCTTTTCGAGCAGCGATGCTATGAGGCGTACAAAAATAACCGAAAGTGCAATGAATTCGGTCGTGTGCCACACAAATGAACTGAATGTTCTGGTGGAACGGAAACATATGGCAGTTCAAGTGGACTGTGGGGATCAAGAAATGCGATAAGCGTTCATGGAAACAGGGGGAAATACAGAATTATGTTGAATACAAATTAAAAACTTGCATGGAATCGACTTTACAACTTATAGCCAATATAAATCAAATGCCCACTTCAACAAAATCGGAAAAGGCGACCAGAAGGTCAGCCCAAATGTCATAGTTTCTGGCTCAACAGTGAAAAAAAGGGTATCGCTCATGGTAAATTCCGGGATTATTTAATCAACATTATAAAAACAAGGAATACTTAGTCTCAAGGAGTGACTTTCCCAACAATTTTTAAGTAATAGCATCAAATATGAGATAGCCCGCAACTGACTCACTACAAAAGGGTTGGGAAACACAAAAAAACCATAGTTAACAAAAAAAAAAGTGTTATATACACTATTAAATGTGATATAGTTGAACTAAACATGAAAATAGGAACTGTTTAGAGAATATAGAGAAATTGCAACTCCAGATAAATGAACATCTAAAACAGTCAGGATGTTTTGAATACACATATAGTGAGTATTCGAGTTGTGTTGACAAGAGTTTCCCATTAGGGAAATTAAAACCACGTTAGTGATAACGAATGAGTCACGAACTCGTGCGAAAAGTTAATAATACTCGCATTGTTGAACTGGAATTTGTGAGCAAAAGACGAGAGCGTTAAATGTTAACCGCTTAAAATTTGCTTACGAATCTCGGCGGCACTGAAAGCCAGAAGTAAATGGCCAAAAGAAGAAGAGGAAGAGAAGGCTAAGCGAAACACAATCAGCTGCACAAAGAAGAAGCAACAACAAGTTGCTGCTGACGGAGATACACAGAAATTGGCCAAGCAAAAGTCTCCATGCGAAGAAGAGTCTCCAAAGGTGGTGAAAGACGAGTAAAAGCCATATTGCGATAATTGTGGGCGGGAGGAGAAGGCGCGGTAAGTTGTTAGTTATGGAGTGGGGTGTGGGAGGTCGGAAGCCTTATTGTGGGGCTTCAGGAGGTTAATTGAATTTCAGGCAAAAACCAAAACATATGCAGCGTCAATAAACCATATGCGAAACGACCTTTTGGAGAGTGGAGAAAGAAGAAGACTCGAGCTTATCTTTTTTGCTCTTCCACTAACACACACACACACCTACACCTTGCTTATCAATGCAAAAGTACATTGACAACTAAAAAACACGCTCAATAATTTCGTCATCGAATCGGGTAATCCACAACTTGCCATTTCAGGGAAAACAACTTTTACACAAGCACACACACAAACATGCACGCACAAACCGAACAATTCCTTTTTTAATTAGTACGCTAATTACCTTTTTTCAAATGCAACTCTCCACGCTTTCAAGCGTTTTCACAGTTGCAAATTCCGTTTAATTTCGCTGCACCCGTTTTATTTCAATTTTCAATTTCCAATTATCCGTTTTTCTTTCGTTTTTCACCTGACGCCAGTCGCGTCGCCCACTGACGTCGTCTCTTTTCTTTGAGCCTAAAAAAAATGGCCTAGATCTGTTGATTTATGCCCGCGGGGGTACGCAATATGTTTGCCAATGTTTAGACACAATTCCTTGGTGTTTTTTTTCGCGGATCGTGGGTGTGAAAACAGCGAAGGAAAGCGGAGCAAAATAAATGAAAACTACGCACAAATCGTGTTGGTGTGTGACCTAACTACACTAAATGCTGAAATCTGCGTGCCAATACATAAAAAATACCGAAACATCTGTTTTGCGGTATTTGCGGGGGAGTGTTGCGTAGTGTTTGGAATGTCTTTTTTAGTTGGCTAAGTAAATACTACATATGCTCACACTTCGCAGCTTCGGATACAACAGTAAAAAAGGCCATCTAATTTGATAACAATATAAGCTAAAAGTTATTTTTCAAACATAGGACAAAAGTTTAAAAATAATTAATAGACTTCTACATTTAATGCAAGAAAAAGGCGGAAATTGATCAATACTCTAGCACACCTTTGGAGTAGCAAAATTGACTATGGGCTTTTTAAAATGTGTTGACTATGGTGTATAATTAACCAATGAGTTATAATGGTTTTCAACAGACATCTATAACATTTCAGAAGCCCCTTCATATTTTGAGCACAGGGTGCCCGTGGTCTACGGCGTGTTTTATTTCTGCTGTCCGACGGTCACACTTATCGAGTCAGCCATGTTGTTTTCTGTCACCGAACTCATACAAGCGCAGGAATTACAACACAGCATTTCACTTTTTGTGTTGCCAGGAAAATATCAATTTTCAGCCCGATTAGCAGCAGGAATTATCAAAATAAATATATAGCAATTGAGCCAAAACAAACCAAACTGTTTTTGTGCATTGGTGGTCCAGAATAAGTTGCATTTTCTATGGTGTTTGTGGTGAGTAAAAGTTCATTGAATAAATTCAGTACTCGTACTTAAAACAGCGACACCACGCCCCCCACCGCTTCTCCTCTTCGTTCGTTTTGCATCTGCTTCTTTTTGTGGAGATGCTGCAACAACAACAACTGCGAAGCAGCAACAACAACGACTGCAAGGGAGAGAGGAAAAACAAAAAAAAAAACTCCGGGGAACAGTGGAATTCACTGAAAACAATTACCCTAAGTGTGTTAAACTGTATTGATTGGTGCCAAACAATTCGCGGATTCCTCTTTGCGCTCTGTTTCGCTTCATTTCGGTGTGCATATCATTATTTATGCTTCGGTACAGTCTAGCAGCGGTTCTACTAGCAGCCTCGCTCCAGATTCCATTTCAAGATGAGAGAAAGACATTATGTAAAAAGATTCCCGCGAATAAATTGTGTGCGAGAACACCGACCGATTATGCTCAGGCACAGACACAGTCCGGGGTAGAAATATAGTGTCGCTTCTGAATTTATCTTGCTCTTCGTAAAAGTGTTAGCGAACCTACCAGAATCGGCTTTAAACCGAAACATAAGTAGTCCGATTCCAAATCTTCCCAGAAAGTTACCTGAATAGCTCTAGAATGGCATAGCTAGGTTAGGAGAACCTATACCATACAGAATGTTATACAGGAAAAGACTATATAGCCGAAAGACTATAATAGATCTGTACATATAATCAGATTATTTACAACTTATTAACAATAGGTATAGCAACGTTGGAAAGCATGCTAACAAAATATACAGAAAATAAAACAACGAATTTGTTTAGCATTGCCAAGGCAACGTATTAATTGGTTTTTATAGCGCTTACCAGTAAATAGTCTTAATAGCTGTTTGTTTGGAAAACATACCCCTATTTTATATTGGTACATTACTTTAAGGCCATCAAACAAATTTTAAAATATATTCCTATAATTTTAAATGATATATGGATAAATGCCGCAATAATGACAATGATTCGATTGACAATTTTGATTGTAATCTCCCTCTAAGAACTATAATTTCGACCGCCTCTAAGAGTGTACATCTAGTTTAAGTTTTCAATACTTCAGACCACGTGATCGCAACGTGTTGGGACGATTTGGGCCACCGCCAAAAATGCTGGTGCGGAAGTTCGGGGTCTGTGGGGGATTGTTGCCCACGAGGCCAGACTGGCCGGGAATCTGAATCGGACCCGGAGTGCTGGGCGCCCTGCTGATGCCCAGGCCGTTGTTTCGCAGCCTGGGCGCCACATAGGGACGCTGGCTGGTGGAGATTCCGCCCGTTCCCAGAGGCGGCAGGATACCTCCGTTTGGAGGAGTCAACACCGGAGGCTGTTGCGGCTGCTGTGGAAGATTTGCATTGCCCTGAGGCTGCGGTTGCACTATAGGCGGCACAATCGAGTTCACGGATGAGTAATTAGGAGGCTGAGGCTGCTGCTGCTGAACCGGAGGCTGCACCGTGATCGGCGGAATCTGGGTCTTCTTCGCGAGCGCCGGAGCCAAGTACGGGTGGTTGCCACCGCCAGTGCCGCTGCTGTTGCTTTGCGGGATGTCGTAGGTGCGACCCGAAGGCGTGGTCACTTGGATACTGTTCCCAGGCTGCACGCCACAGGGCTTTGGGTAGTCGTAGCCAATTGGCACCGCCTGGACATAGTTGTCGAAGTACTGGCTCACCTGATGCATGGGCGTGGAGTAGTTAACGGCGATGAGGGACTCCTTGGTTCGCACACCCGAGCGGGCTTGGGCGTGGGCCGCCTGGAGGCGCAGGATGTTGGCCTGCTTAATGTGCGGCAACAGTTCGGCATCGCCCTTTATCTTCTCGACCACAGCCTCGTCGCTATCGATGTTACCGTCGGGTTTAATCCCTCCCTCACTTTGCTCACTGGCTCCGGCTTTCTTGGTGGTGGTCTCCTCCGCCGCCTTTGGCAACTCCTTGGGTTTTTTTTCCTCCTTCTGGCTGGGCACCGCCTCCTGTTTCTTCTCAGCCTCGGGCTTCTTTCGGTTTACGAACTCGAACAGGTCATCTATGTCGGGCACATCAGGCAGTGCTCCGTAGGAGTCAAAGTTGTCTCTGAAAGCAGTGGCCCACTCCTCGCTCTTGTGCAGACTTGGATCAATAATTAGTTTTGGCTGCTGCTTGTGGTTGTGGCTGGATGTGATGGAGGAACCCAATGCCGCTGCTTCTTCTGGAGCCGAAATGCCTCCCACATTTTTGATCACCGTGATGGTCTTCACGCGGGTTCCCTCCTTTGAGTCAATGTTGGTGGCTGCGTAGCTCAGGCTGAGATCCCTTTTGGCCGGCTGCGGCTCCACCGCGGGCTTCTCCGGATACTTGATGCTGATTATCGTGGCTCCGTGCACGCCCACCAGCAGCAGTAGGCCCAAGGCGGCCATTGTGTGAAAGCGGGCAATCTGGGAAATTTGGTTTTTCTGTTTTAGTTCTCTTAATTTTCGCTCTTTTGTTTTCGCCTCAAGTTATGGGTTAGTAAGGCCCTAGTATCTCGGCAGTTTTATTATCCAAACCGATTAGGATGTGACTTTATTTTGAGATATAATTGATATTTAGGTGATCATTTATAAAATGTAATGATATACTTATTTAGATCTTTGATGAAATGAAACTTGATGTTGGTAAGTTCATCGAGCGATTTTTAAATGTTGTTATACAAATCAATCCAAGGATCTAATCAAGTTTTAATTTGTGTATTGCAGTGGTGGTCTGTACTATGTTAATCTTTATGTATGTGTTATGAACAGAGTTTGGAATAAATCAGCAGTTGAATGTCGTATTTCAACTGGATGGCATTGCAAGTAAAGCCTATTATTCATGGATAAGTAATAGATGAAGATGGTTTGGTTAAAGTGAAGGCCCGATTAGAAGTCGAACAGTAAGTTGCTCTTGTGAATCAAACATGTTGTTATAGAACTCAGATATAATCTATTAGCAAGTAGTCCAAGGATATATTCGAAATAACTGCCAATTCGAGCTTGGTTCACTATTAATGGCACACTTTTAAAGGTAATCCCATGCACATTGATCACTCACTGTCGAGCTTCTCATCGCTTCAATCCTTCGCACATGCGATCGATCAATCAAATGATCCGATCGTTTAAAACGATTACGAGCAATGCGATGATAATTGTGATGAGGATCAATGACGACCGACTACGGCGGAGACGGTGACGGTAACGCGGTCAATTCGATTTTCCTACTGCCGGCCGAGATGCCAACAATGCTTTTTATATAGCCAGGCGGAAGGAGTTTCGGTTTGGGTTTCCTGTAGCTCCCCGGCTCTGGATATCTAATGTCTTTGACACCGAGATACAAACAAACCGACAATCGCGCCAATCGCATTAGCTCAAAGCACACAACTGGCATCTGCGATTGAGTTAAAGCTGCATAATAGCTTTCCCATTACGTCCAAAACGGTCAACGAGTTTTCGCCAGCCACTACTGTTTTGGGAAAGCAGTTGCCGCCGATCCTCCAGCCCCCAGCCCCGATCTATTGCTCCCTCATCCTCCAGTGGACGCAGAGCCGTCTCGTCGGCACATAATTGAGTGCGACTAATGAGGAAATTGAATCTGGCTAATGATCGTGGAGCATGTGGATCTGTAGTGGCTCCAGTGGGTGTCTGCTACACGCATCTTAAGTAGGGATAGTTTGCTCTTCTACCTAATGCCTCCTGTATGTGGTAAGATCATGTGCGAAGGTCCCCAGCTACCCCGGTAAGTGAGACCTCATTTAGACCTTCATTCTGTTCAAAAGCTAGGGAGAGCAGCTCCCAGCTTGTCGCAAACTGGTCGTCTTACGCAATACCAAAACGCACGCTTGTCTTCGCCAGCCTCAAAGATTGTCATGAGAAACTGCCATGCGAATCCATGAAGTTGTGGGCCTAATGTGTGTGCAAGCGGGCCATCAACTGGAGATTAAATCGGTAGCAGAGCACAGCTTTTCTGCCAAGGAAGTTGGAAAATAGTGATATAGGAAATACAGAATTGAAACTTTACCATTGCATGTGGAGATGGATGATTAGTGGCGCCTTCAGGGTATCATTTATTCCTTCCATTTGATGTCTTGCAGCTTTTATTTAAAACATTGCTTAATCTGGATTTTTCTGGGTTGTCATATGTTTGGAATCCATAAGTATCTTATATTGAAGGAATAACTACGGGGTATACAATGAATTCGTATGTATATTTCCTGGGGTTTGCAGCGTTTGGTGACTTTTATTCCATGAACTAAGCTGAAATCTATATTTTAAGACATTTCATTTCGTTGGTAAATCCTCCATAAGTATGCGATTATCGTTTCAGATTCAAGAATCCACGCGTAGCATCATCATCAATACCAGGTCGATAAACCTTTCTTGTCCAACTGAAGAGCCTGCGATCAGTTAATGGGAGTGGAGCGCAAGTGACGAATCTCGGAAGGCCAGACAGTGAAGTCTCTGCCTGTACTAGAAAAGAAATAAATAACTAATCAAATCTAAGCAATTGATTGATCAAGATGAGTGTGATTATTCGGTTACAAAACTTGCCGTGGACGGCAAATGCGCGCGACATTCGAAACTTCTTCTCGGGCCTCTCAATTCCCGAGGGCGGTGTCCACATAATCGGCGGCGAGATGGGCGACGCTTTCATCGCTTTCAGGTAGTTAGCCACAATCTGATCTATAAGTAAACCCATAGCTATCTCGGGTCCAGCGGGTCTGGACTTGGGTCGGGACCTGAGCCTCTCCTGAGTCGCTGCCGGGCTTTTAGCTTGCATGTGCCCAAGTCTGCGGTCAAAGTAATAGCACTAAGAAAACACTTGCAAACCAATGCGAGTGCATGGACACGGTTTTATGGACTGAAACAGGTAATATCAGCCCTGATAATGAGCCTCCCAGGTATTCCATTTCATTAAGTTATCTTATTGGCATACTCATGGCCGATTCTATCCTTCGGATTCAATACAAAGTATTCGAAAATGACTTGATGTCAAAACAACGACAAATGTGGATATGTATATATCACTAAATCCCGCCCTATGAAAGGTACCCAGATATATCGACAGAATTGAAATCAGAAAGCTGCTAAAACTGAGATTAGAAATATTTTAAGTGGATACTTTTTTTTAATGTGTTTGGAGTAACCGAAGTAAGTACGGCACAATGAAAAAAACCGAAATATTTTCGGATTGCAGTGGGACCACAGTAACTTCAAAATGAAAACAGTTCCAAATCGAACCGTGTTTTTGTTTATTTTTGATTTAGCTTCATTAATTTTAGTCTTTTTGTTATATTTAGAGTGCTGTGTACAGTCAATATATATTTCAGATTTCTACATTTCGGAAAAAGGATTTATTAAAAATTAACTTTTAAACGAAATCTTTGAAACTTTTGTATTTGTAGCAGGAATTTCAGATGACTTAATAATGGAAAATTAGAAAATACTTGAAGGGGAGCTAGTCTTACTAACACACACTCTTATCTGATTTGAAGAAGTCGCTAGTTATTTGAATTTGTTCTGACCAGTTTATAACACAATATTGTTAGCCATAAATTTGATTTTATCGGGGAAACCATACAAATTTCATCCAAGCAAATAGGGTTGGTATTAATATAAGTAATAATCCCATCCAAAACCATCACAACCTCAACATTTGAAATGGAACAAAATCCAAAGTTTGTGATCAAATTTGATCATTTGCAAATCAACAATGGTTGCAGCAGAAACGTGGATGCTGCAGATAACATATGGAATGAATACAGTGCTATTATTTTGACTGCTTAAAATGCTGGCTGATGACTAACGGGGACGATCAAACACGCCGAGCCCCCCGATATCCCAAGTGCTTGGGATATTACCGCTTGTTATGTAACACTCCTGATTTTTTGCCTTTGATTTTTTTTCCCCATTTTCATACAAACCAATAGCACCGACGAGGATGCCCGCTGCGCAATGCTAAAGGATCGCGAGAAACTGATGGAGATCCAGGTGCGCCTGCTGCTCTCCTCGCGGGCCGAGATGCAAAAGGTTATTGAGACTGCTCGGAAAACAGCCTCCGCTCCAGCGCCAGTATCGGTTCCAGTTCCCATGCCAGTTGTTGCCCCCATTTCGGTGGCCAAGGCAGCTGGCCCAGCTGCGCCACTGCCCCCGATTATTGGGGGCTTGAACAGCTTCTTGGGTCAAAGCAAGGGGGTCGCCGCTGGTGTGGTGCCCTCTTTTCTGACCTACCAACAACAGGCGGGGATCACGCTCTCTGATGTCACAGGTCGTCGCAGTCGCAGCAGATCCTCCAGTTCCGATGATAGCGATAGGGAGCGAGAGCGAGACCGGGATCGTGAACGTGAACGGGAACGGGAACGAGGTCGCAAACGTCGCTCCGACCGGTTGGGTAACAGCCAGGAAAGGGACCTGAAAATGGTTGCCGGTGGAGGTGCAGCGCCATCTCCTTGGGCGCAGCCACCTCAAAATCAGTTGCCAGGCGTGGGACTGGGTCTCAACATGGGCTTGAGCCTGAATATGCCTCAGCTCTTACCCTCACTGCAGAGCTATACCACTAACAGTGCAACCACCAACAATGTGACCAACAACTATAATCTCGGACCAAATACTCCCAGTGTCCAGCTTTTGGCCGCTTTGCAACAGGTGGCCAGCGGTAGTGCGGCTCAACCGCAGCCTGCGAAATCCGAGACCGAACCCATTGCCTTTGCCAGCGTAAATCCCTATGCACAGATGTACCCGCAGCTCTTCCAGCAGCAGCAGATCTTACTCCAGCAGCAACAGACACCGGCCAAAGTGTCGCCCACCATTGGTAGCTCTCCGGGCGGAGGCAGTACTCCTCAGGTTGTTGCAGACACCTGCTACATTAGGATGAGTGGCATGTGCCAAAACACCTCGTACAGCGATATCCGCAAGTACTTCCAGGGCCTGTACATACCGCACAATGGCATCAAGATCATGATGGTGAACGGCAGTCGCACGGGAGTGGCCTACGTGGAATTCTCTCGGGTGTCCAGTGCCCAAAAGGCACTGCAGCGGAATAACACAATGTTCCGCGATCGCTTGGTTCAGATTGCTCCTGTGGGCGACGATGAGTTTGAGTTGGCGGAGGAGCGTGCTAATCGCCAGCTGCACGACGGTAGCAGGAATCACAGCAACCACAACGGCGGTGAGAGGGGTGAACGGGGCGGGGGCGGAGCTATTCCCCCGCCCAAACCCGTTACCAATGTCCTCTATATAGAGGATCTGCCACAGACCACCACTGAGCAAGATATCATGAAGATGTTCTCCGCTAGCTACACCATTGTGGACATCCTCTTGAGCCCCAGTCCCAACAATCGACGCGAGTCCGTAGCCTTTGTCCTTTTTGCCAGGGAAGCCGAAGCCGAATCCGCTCTGCAGGATACCACCAAGCACTATATAGGGTTCCGCCAGTTGAGAGTGAGTCCCAGCAGTGAGGAGGATATGCAGAATGCCAAGGAAAAGCAACGCAGAGCCAATGAGCAGCTGCTGAAGGAGGAAGCCGATCAGCGGGAAGAGCTCTTGAAAGATCAGCAAAGACGGCAGAAGTTGCAGCAACAGGAAAATGAAAAGAATCTGGCCAGCAGATTCGCCGCCGATCCAAGGAGACGCCAGGCGGAGGATCAGCAGCAGCCGCAGCAGCAGATGAACATGGGATCCAATTTTAATCCCAACATGATAGCTCCCTTTGGTAATGGTGGCAACATGCCCTTCCACATGCCGCCTCACCAGCAAAATGGTGGCAATAACTTCCCGTTCAATATGAATAACAACTTTGACATGGTTATCAACGGGAGTTCCAACGGGAACGGACCCAACTATCCAAATGTTAATGGAGACGCTGGTGGCATCCAGCGTCCCCGGCAAGAGGATGTCTTTGTTCGAGTCCATAACTGCGAGTACGCCACTAGAGTCAATGATCTGGGTGAACTATTTTCCCTCGAGAACCTACGCATTGAACATATCGAACAGCTTTTCAATGAACGTAACCAGAGTTCCGGCGAATTTATTGTGGAGTTCAGTGATCCCGTCAGTTGCAAACAGGCCGTCAGGGAGTTCCACAATAGACGCTTTCGAGGAAGGGGACTGCGAGTGGTGGCCATCACGCCCCAGGAAATTGCTGACAGGATGAATAAGCCCTTCATGGATTATCTGCCGGGAGGAAATGGTCCCAGGAAAGCCGAAAGTAACAATGTGAGTGAAGTAGGAAGTGGAAATGGGGCAAGTGGACGATCCGACGGAGGTCAGAGTGCGCCTTCTCGTCGTCGGGGACCCAGCCGCTTTGATAAGCCGCAGGATCAGCAATCGCAACAGCAGGATCGACCGCAATCCCTGGAAAAGGAGGACAACAGCAACAGTAGCTCAAACGCACCCGTCAAGCAGCACTTCAACCCCTTCGCTCGACCAGATCCTCCTCTGAGCAGCAGCTCCCTCTCGCCCAGCAATCAGAGCCAAATCAAGCCAACCTCTCCGCTGCCCGTTCCCACTTCCATAATCCCGGACAAGTTCAATCGTCCGGGATGCGTCGTGGCAATGCGAAATGTCCCTTTCAAGGCGGAGCTTAAGGATATCCTGCGCTTCTTCGGCGACTACAAGCTCAGCCCGGATGACATCATAAGACGATTCAATGATGAAGGAAAACCCACCGGCGATACTCGGGTCGCTTTCGAGTCCCCTTCAGAGGCAAGATCTGCATTCGAATCGCGGCGCAGGAAGCAGATATTCAACCGCACTGTTTACCTGGATATCATTTAGGCTACAAGCCCTTAACTAATTGGCCATCGCTTGTGTATATTGTAAATAGCTAATACTAAGACATACACCAAAAATATTATATATAGATAAGACGGCCACAGTTCGTGTGATTGCTGGCCTTTACTCAGCATGTACATAAACTTCAAATAAATAGAATATCCGTGTAAGAAATGCGTTTAAGCATATAAAACCCAACGAGCGACTGTTCGGAAAAGCTATCATAAATTACATCAACGCTGATTTAGCACTTTTTGGTTTGTTTCTGAGCATCCTTTCTTTAGTCTTTAAGTATATTTTCACATAATTTAAGTTGATGATTTATGTATTTTTTTGACATTACAAAAATAAAACCTAAATTTTACCTAAACGTAGGTTCCCTGTTCACAACAAGTATAAATTGTAATGATATTTGAATAAATGTATAAAAATTGTATAACTAAAGAATCTCTTTTCGATATACATATTTCAATATATTCACGAAATTCACGAAATTCACTGTTCTACATAGACTCAAAAATACTTTCTAAAACATGAATATAAAAGGTCAGGAGCAAAATCTTAATCCAATCTTAGGCATAGTTCTGTAGTAATATCACTTGTGACTTTTTGAGCGACTCCCTACACAAGGGGCACTCATCTCGCTCCTCCAGCCACTCGAGCAGGCAGCTCCAGCAGAAGATGTGGCCGCATGGAGTCAAACTGCTGTTTGAACGTGGCTCCAGGCAAAGAATGCACGGTGGGGTGTTAGGATCTACGTCTTTCACGCTCGAACCTCGTTGCAGGAACTTCTTTCCAGCCTGCTTTATCGATTCTAGCTGCTGGCGCTGGTGCTCTCGCCAGGCGTCCCAACCACTAATGGCTAGGGAAACGGTGACCTGCAGGAAAGTGATTACGCCCAGGATTTTGTAGCCGTACAGGGAGAATTCTGGCTGCAGCCAGTGGCGGATTAGTACGTAGTTGATGCCCGTGGTGCGCTTGGACAGTTGGTACTTGCTGGCGTCCAAGTAGAAAAGAGACTTGTGCAGGGCTTTTACGTAGCTGGGAGATTGCTTAAGCCTCTGAATAATCTTCTTTAACTGCGGCTTGACCTCGGATCGAATCTCTTCATTGTTGGCCACATAGGTATCCAGTTTTTGCATCAATCGTTGGAATAGGGAGTCGCCACCAAACTCCAGGACAATGGCAATCAGTTGTAACTGGAGGATGCACAAAGTTTTAAAATGTTTTCTTTTCGAGGTTTCTATACCCACCAATCTGCTGGGAATTTGCTTGTAGTTGCCGTCCACCTGTATTATCCCCGTGTACTCCTCGCCGAGTGTCTGGAGGTTATTGGCCGAAGCGAATCCGTGGTAACTGAGTTCCGCCAGCAGCCTGCACATTTGGTTGTACTTTATCCAGTTCCGGGGACCGGTGAGGCGCAAAACGTCGGACAAGTCTTCGGCCAGCTCGTTGGTGTACCGTGCGTCCTTCTGCACGGATCTCACGATCTCCGGCTGCCGGGCACGGGCGTTGCGAAAGTCCATATTGATGGGGCTACTGCAATGTTGACTTTAACATATCTAATTCAAAGGCCGATCAAAGTGCGGCCCAGATAACAAAATCAGCTGCCTAATTGAGATGACACTTTCTGGGAAAAACAGTAATGCACTTTGCAACACAGGAGTAAAGCTTTGGCCACTTCAAACGTATTATAAAAAATATTAAATTAAATAAATATATTATTTCCTTTATAATTATTTGAATGTCCGAGGTGACATTGTATTTTTAATCAAAATTGGTTGTGATAATTTAAATAAGACATAATTTGCTTGTACGATAGTTGTCTCTTACGAATCAAGACCGTACCAAAGCACACCACTAGCTCTCTGCGAGGCACTTTTCAACACTCACAGTCAGCCATTTTCTATAGGGCATCGCGGATGCTTTTTCTCCCTGACCAAAGGATATTTGGTTTTCCCATCAAAATTCGTTGATTTCGAGGCGTTAAATCAAAACCCCACAATAGCAGAGACCGTGTGTCGGCAGTGTGTGTGCAATTGGCAAGTGGAAATTGTCGGAAAGGTTCAGTTTAAGACCCGAAAAGAGCAGCTAGCGCAGACGTCACACCTTTTCAACCACCAATACGATTGCAAATACTAATACTACAAATACTACGGCCCACAGACTAACACAACACAAAACAAGTGCTAGAAAAGTGAAGAAGAAACGAGCTGCAAGTCCAAGTACTTAAAAAGTACTTTCGCCTCGATTTTAACCGCATCCTCGCAAAAGCCGCATTGGATTTTTTGGAAATATTACGCAAGTACTATTTCTAGTCGTACCCGTTGGTTAATCATGGCTCAGTAAACATGAATCCGCAACGAGAATACTTTGCTCAGCGCACTCCGTGTGGAGACCAAGGCAAGACGCAATTAGCTGCCCACTGGCAGCTGTCCAGCACCTATATTAATACTACTCCCCAAGACAAGTGCACCTTAAATACCCACAACGATGGACAGCAACAGCAGCAGCAGCAGCAAAAAGCAGCCTCAATCCTCTCATCATGGCAAGTCCTCGTCTGGTGAATCGCAAAGGAAGTCCAGTGGTGGGTTCTCCATTCTCCTTATCTTTTCTTTTATCCCGAAAAGGTTTAAATATACTTGTAACCTTCTTCACCACAGAATTACATACCAACAGCAACAAGCAGCGGCACAACCGTCGAAGGAATCAGATACCCACACCGCGCAACGATCAGCAACAACAGCCACAGCAGCCAGCAAAGCTCCGTCCCAATGTGGACAAACGGCCGAAGGCACGCGGGTGGGGAGGGGCATACGATTTCCCTGCACCCCGTGGCCAGGACGGGACTCCAGGCAGCTCCCGACTAGCCTACTCCGCCACCGGCTACTCACGTAGCGGTGACTTTGACCATGAACTGAACTCTGTGTATGCACAGGGCAGCAAGAAGCAGAATCTGAACCATCTGCTCAACTTTCACTGCGTGCCCAGGGAACTGGAGCGAGGACATCACCATCAGGCCCAGCAGCACCACGCCTTGGGTGGCCGTAAGCAGCGCTACAACAAGGAGCAGTTCTTGCAGGCCAACTTTCAGTTCGTCATTAGATCGGGGGCAAAGGCTCAGGTTAATGGCTCGCCGGATGCACTTATCGATTGGAGCTACATCGAGCAGATCAACATACAGACCACTGAGGAGTTGCAGTGCCCCATCTGCCTGTACCCGCCTGTGGCTGCCAAGCTCACTAGATGCGGACACGCCTATTGTTGGCCCTGCTTGCTGCACTACCTCTCGCTGAGCGACAAGACCTGGCGTAAGTGCCCCATCTGCTATGACGCCATCCACGCGGGAGATCTGAAGAGCTGCACCATCGAACAGCAGAGGGATTTGCAAGTGGGCGAGAGGATTACCTTCCAGCTGATGCGCCGCTGCAAGGGCTCCATGTACATTGAAAAGCATGTTGCAGGACTGGGCGAAACGGTTGAACGTTTCCCTTTTGTGTCTGCTGGTGAAGAGGCTAAACGCTACTCCAAGTTTCTAATAGCCAAGCGTTTGGACGTGGCCGCCATCATCGAGAGGGAGCGGGGCGAACTTCTAGCGGAATCGGATATATCCTGTCCCGAGGATGTGTTTATCCAGCAAGCTCTGGTGATGCTTCAGGAGCGTGGCGAAAAGTTGGGACTAGAGAAACCTGATTCCAGAGAGGAGGAAGGTGAAACAGCACCTGTTCATTGCCTTGAAACCGAGACCAAGATTGATATTGAGAAGTCAGACGATGCCTCCATCTCATCGGGAGAGGCATCCAGCAGCCTTAGCTGCTCATCGAGCAACCATAATAAATACTATTATTTTTATCAGTCTAACGACGGACAGAACATTTACTTGCATCCCTTGAACGTGAAGATGCTTCAGGCCTGCTATGGCACCTTGGATTTGGGTCCGCTACTCATCGAAGCACAAATCGTGCAGATGGAACAGCACTCCATGGATGAGGAGCATCGTCGCAAGTTTACTTGTCTTGGCCACTTGCCTTTGACTTGTCAGTTTTCGGTTGTGGAAGTCGAACTGCAGCCACCAATTGTGTCTGGTGGAATACTCAAGCTCTTCAAAGGTAAGTCCACTAGGTCCATGTACATTTCCAGCTATAAACAAATATGTATTTTTTCCGTAGAGGACATTCTTCATCGCAAGAAGGAGCGACAGCGTCGGGATCGTGAGGAGCGCAAGCGAGAGCAGCACATCAACGAGATAAATGATCGCCAGATGGGCAAACTTATTGCTAGTGCAGCTAACCTCGACTTAAGCTCCTCCCATGAGTTTCCCACTGTGAGTTAGCAAGGCTCACCATTAGTTTCAATTAATAATATATGCTATTTTATCTAAAGTGCGGCTTCGAGGAGGCTTTGCCCACTCCCAGTGGCTCTGTGCCCATGACCATCAGCAACCAGGATGGCAGTTCACGCTACTCCAGTCCCAAGCAGGAGTTGTGGCCCACTATCGGAAGTAATTCTCCTGGAGGTGGGGGCACAGCATTGGACATTCAGGTGGGCGCCTGGGGTCGCTCAGCTCCACCGCCGCCACAAGCTGTTTTGGTCCCTAGAACCAGTGATGAGGATTTCGAGCAGCGATCTGTGGGCCACTGGGGCCTGGGAGAACTTTTAGTTGGAGCCTTGGACCAGAAAAAGCAAAAGGTAGGAGCAGCAAAAACCAATGGAGCAGCTACTGCGGAATCCAAGAAGCAAAAGAAGGCCAAGGGAAAGAAGATGGTTCCCCTGTTTGCCACGGGCATGAACAGAGCTCCATGAAGTGGATTGCTTATGAAGTTACAAGATTTATTGTATTTTTGTTTTTATGCGAATATTTCAATGTTATTTCAAATAACCGCGATTCTTTCATTGAAGAAGATTTGGAAAATCATTCAGCTAATCTATAATTTAACCCCAACTTATATTCATAATACACATAAGATAACCAATAAAGGCAGCAAGTAAAATATCAAATTTAACCTTTTCTTACTTTCTTGGTAAAATAAATATTTATAAACTGAAATTGATCTGAATATATTTAAAGCGCATATTTTTCTGCTAGCTATTTTGTTCCATTGAACCACAAACAAAATAATTTAAGATTTAAGGGATAGGAAGAGGATAGCCAAATTCGTCTTTAGTCGCTGCGTCGCTCGTGGACAACATCCTCATGCTCTTGTTCCTCCGTGTCATTGGGGCTTGGTGAGTGATTCACCGGACCCGGGCGCTTCTGTTTTCGCTTAATGGAGCCACCACTACCCGCTCCGTACTCAGGTGGCAGCTCCATGTACTCATCCTGGGATTCTGCGCCGTCTGTGGCATCTGGATCGTCGCCGTTTATGGAGCCATTCGGACTGCCTGGTGGGCTGAGAGCCTGAATGATTCGGCCCTTGGACTCGTTCCAAAAGGTATTAAGCCGCTCCTTGCCGAACAGCAACAGGAAGGCATCAATAAACTCGCGCGACTTCTCCTCCCACTTCGTTATGATGTCAACCTTTACTTTGGTCAGCTCCCGCTTGCCGCGCGACTTCAGCTCGTCCATCTTGTTTTGCAGACGGAACTTCTTCTCGGAGAGAAAGGACACGTTGAGCTCCTTGGCTGAGTAGCCTCTGGCCAGATTCCTGCGCACATATACATCGTAGTCCTTCACGATTCGGGCCACAATGTCCGACGTGGAAACGCCCTCTGTTCTCTCCGTGGCCACGAACATTCCCCTTGCTTTGAGTGGAGCATATATGTCGTTCACTACGCCAGCTCCATAGGGTATGTCATCGTGGGCCACAAAATCGATCTTGTGCTCGTCGAGAAACTCATCATTTAGCGTCCAAGGAGCATTCGGAACGATCTTGTTGAGACGAATCAATCGAGAAGTGTATAAAAACATTTGCTTAGTCGCATTGAACACTTACCTCATCCACATAACGGCAGTGGCGCACCGCCTCGTAGCGCTCAAATCCATTCATGACCGTGCGTCCCTTCATCCTGAGGGTCAGCTCATCATTGCACACGCCCACGATGAGATACACGTTGGGGAATACGTTCTTGGCCTGCATCAGTTGGCGGGCATGGCCCTGGTGGAACAGATCGTAGATGCCATCTGCATACACCCGCACCCTGCGCGCCGTCTTCCCAGCTCTGGCCATCTGGTAGGTGATCCTCTGCGTGTAGTCACACCTCTCGAGCTCCAGCAAGGCCTTGTCATCGTACGAGAAAGGAGCAGGCTGGCAAATGCTCTGGAAGCGTTTGTGGCGGAGGGATTAGTATGTGGGACCTACTAGGATCTACTTAAGCAGGCTTACAAAATCTTCAAAGTCCATGAAGAGCGGAAGCATTTTAAACTCGAGCGGTGATGATACATCGTCCTCTTCCGGCATTTTGTCCATTGCTTAAAAAAAATATATATATATTCAACTAAGTACAGCACAAGTGGTTCGCTCTACAGGCTTTCAACCGGACAACTGACTATATAAATCGAGACGGAACCGGCATAACCCTCTAGGTCTACTCTGTCGAGGATTGAGTCCGAGACTGTGAGTGAGAGATGTCCCCAACTGCGCACTAGCGGCGATCAGAATAAATTGGCGGCAACTGGTGGCGAATCAATACAATTGAGTCCAGAGGCTGGCGAGGCACACGACTTGGAAGCGGCTCTATCGTTGTCTCAGGCCCAAGCCACTGGCTTGGATTCATCGCTCATCTTCAATTGCCGCAAATTAAGGCGCAAGCAAATGGGAAGCAACGGGTCGCCTGACTTGGCACGGGTCCGCCGATTTGATCAGAGGATGGGCGCGCATCTATATATAAACCGCAGCGCCATTAAACAAATCAGTGAACCGCTTCCAGCCGGTGAATGGGCAGCTAATTGCGGGGAATGGGTGTCCAATCAAGGCAAACGGTTTCATCATCGTCGGCGAGCGCAAGAATATTCTGCACGTTCCATAGATAGCTACAGAATCGGATGCGCAATTGCTGGAGAAACGTATAGAATAGCAAACTGATGCACAAGTCCCCCTTTTTCATTCTATTTCCTTTCGATTCAATGTTTATTTTTCAAAAAATATTTAACAAAGCATTTGCAATAGTTCCGCTATTGCCAACTGTTACTAATTACTTGTTTTTTGCATTTTCCGAATGTAATTTGTTTGTTTGGATTTCTCTATATTGGTTGGTGTTCTTGTTGCGGTGTTGTTAACTTAGTTTAATATTATGCGAAATAATTTAATATAAATATTTCTAGATATTTTCGGCACCTGAATCTGCCGCTACTGCCGATTGATTTCGTGCACAGTCCGCCGAGTGCCTAATACAAAAATGAGTCTTTGCTGCGTTGGTTGCTTGTCCCACACACAGCTGAATTAGCTACTGGATTCCCTCGGTTCTCAGATATGGAGATGGGCAGGTGGAGTTGAGGAAGGAGGAGAACGAGTGCCAACTAAAACATTGGGATTACAGTACCACTTAGGGCTAGAGTAAATATTAGTGTGTTCGTGGAGCCGCGTGGCGATCCTGGGGCATCTATAGTGTGCCGTCGAACTAGTTGCAAACAAGTCAATTTACAATAGCATCAAAGACATTAAGAGTAGAAGAAAAGATCGGGCTGGCCCGCACTTGAATCAATCGCTGCGGCGCTCGTATTCCGCATCGTCCCCATCCGCTTCCAACTCCGGTGATCGGCTCTGCAGACTCTGGTAACTACGGCGGGCCAGCGAGGAGCGCTTCTGTTTCGGTCGCTGTTTGCCATGAAGCGATTCATTGCTGCCGCTGTCCGAGCTCAACTTCTCGGCCATCTCCAAGTAGTCGTCAATTGTTTTGCTGTAGTCCTCACCGCCCTCCGTATCATCACCGTTCACAGATCCCGACGGGCTGCCCGGCGGACTGAGCGCCTGCAGGAGCTTGCCCTTCGACTCGTTCCACAAGTGGTTCAGATTCTCACGTCCAAACAGCAGCAGGAAGGTGTCGATGAACTCGCGTGACTTCTCCTCCCACTTGGTGATGATGTTCCCCTTCACTTTGGTCATCTCGCGCTTGCCACGCGACTTCAGTTCGTCCATCTTGTTCTGCAGCCGGAATTTCTTCTCTGACAGGAACGATACATTGAGTTCCTTGGCCGAATAGCCTCTGGCCAGATTGCGACGCACATACAGATCGTAATCCTTGACAATGCGGGCCACAATGTCCGAGGTGGACACGCCCTCAGTGCGCTCCGTGGCCACGAACATGCCGCGCGCCTTTAGAGGAGCATAGATGTCGTCCATGTTATCGGTTTCATACGGAATGTCGTCGTGGGCCACAAAGTCAATTTTGTTGTCGGCGATGAATTCATCGGACAGAGTCCATGGTGCATTCTGGACGATCTGTGGGACAGAGTATGCTGCTATAGACTAATAGATCTAATCAGCGCCGGGCAGAACCTACCTCGTCCACATAGCGGCAGTGACGCACTCCCTCGTATCGCTCGAAGCCGTTCATCACGGTGCGTCCCTTCATGCGGTGGGTGAGCTCATCGTTGCACACGCCCACAATTAAGTACACGTTGGGAAAGATGTTTTTGGCCTGCAGTAGTTGGCGGGCGTGGCCCTGGTGGAACAGATCGTAAATGCCATCGGCGTAGACCCTCACCCTACGGGTCGTCTGTCCGGAACGGGCCATCTGGTAGGTGATCCTCTGTGTGTAGTCACACCTATCGCGCTCCAGCATAGCCTCCTCGTCGTGGGAGTAGGGCGCCGGCTTGCAAATTGTCTGCAGGAAGAGGAGTTTAGTTGGGTTATTCAGTTGGACGATTGGGTCCTTAGCCTACACATTCTTCCTCAATCTTATCACACATTGACATCAATTTCAAATTATTCCGACATCTGTCAAGCGAATTGAGTAACTATCACTACTTGTAGTGCAATATGTAGCCTCCATACAATTCATGGACAGCTTTCCTAGCTAGAAAGATTCTTACCGCGAAATCGGAGGTGCCGCTGCCATTGAAGAACTGCTGCGAGGTGGATTCGGACACCACCCGGGGATTTGGCGACGCCTGCTGCTGCGGTACGTACTTCCGCTTGACGCCATTGAGGTAATCCGACTGGGAAGACAGCAGATCCTCTGCGGCTGCTGCTTCGCCGCCATCATCGGCGTCGCTTTGTGAGATGGTGCGTGTTTTGTCCCGCAGGGTCGTGGCCGAGGTGGTTGGCTCATTGGCGCCCTCGCCGAACACCAGGACACTCTCCAGCTGGCCGGCCCTGCTCTTGGACTTTCCGGGGCTGTTTGTGCGCTGATCCTGGACTTCCGAACCCTTTTTGGAGCTGCAGGAGGCGGTGAACGAGGGCATGGCAATGGCTGTCTCGTAGGTCCGCTTCCGGGTGGTCAGTGTGGAGCCGGGGGAGGCGCTGCTGCTGGGCGTGGCCGGTGGCGATGTGCTGTTAATTGTGCTTTTGGCGAGTATCGATGAGGTGGCCATCGCAGCGAATATTTGGGGGCGGCAGTTTTAACGGCTTCGCGACGCGGTGACGGAGGAACAGAGATTCAATTGACTTTCAGCTGGAAGAGATGCGAGAAACAGATTGGTAACCAATACTCTTTAAATTTAATCCCCATATTCGGTTTGTAACATTTCGTTTATATCACAGTCAGTGTTATGAAATTGGAAAGTTTTTCTTTGAAACCAAATTGGTTTAGCTTTGCTTATGGTTGCAAGCATCATTTATCAAATTTATTCGTTGAATTTTTTTGAAATATGGGGCTTTCCCTTTTGCATTTTATGTACCACTCGAACTTTTATGTTAACCAAGGTTAAGGGTTTAATTAATTTTCTTAAAAATGAATATTATTGTACCAATGAACACACAAGTTGTATTTTTGATAGTTTAATCTGCACATATTTACGTACATACATATATGGCATGCACTTGTTTACCGAGCAATTTATAAATAAAATCCAATAAAGCCGTAAACAATTCAAAATAAACAAAGTTATTTTTAAAAAACCATTTAATGCATTAGTGCATGAGCAAGAATATACATATGTAGTACCAATTCGAGCAGCCTAATACATTTTTGCACTGGAAAGTTACTTTAATATAAAACCTTTTTTTTTGGTATATTTTTATGTAATCAGATATCCCTTATTATTAAACCAAATATTTATGATTCGGCTTGCAATAGTTCGGGCTTTTTTGCGCTGACGCCACGTGACAACTGACCCCACGCCCCCTGCCACGCCCCTTTTCTTCGAAGTTGAGCCACGGCCAAATCGATTTCAGTTTTAATTGCCAAATGGTCGATTCAATTCGCCACGCGCATCGCCTCACAGAAATTCCCCATAAATAAAGCCAACTGAAACAGCCACAAACACATCGCTGGGTAAACAACAACACGGGTCGGTGGGTATCGGTAATAATAGACACGTAGTACTCTCGGAGCGGACCGGAGCAGAGCGGGATGATGAGCAACTGAAGCGACGGGGGGCAGCAGGGTGGGCAACCCACTGGGCGCAGAACTAGTTCCGAGTGGCGCTGCACTTTACGTAAACAGGGACCGGCGGAACACGTGAGGCGGACACGATGACCCAATCCTCCCAGAGCTGGGGACCATCCTCCCGTGCCCCGTGGCACACCCAACGAAGCAGCTCGCAGAAAGTTCCACTTCTGGCTGGTTAAGTCATATTTCAGCTACCGGGCATTTTCAATGACGAATTTCCTCAAGGTCGTTCTAAATCAGTTTTTGTGCCAAAGAATATCGATGCTGTGAGCGAAATAATTCAACAAGATCGTCATATTTGCACATATGTATGTATATATGTAGCATTTAAATACTGATAACCCGTTTCAATACTAACATTACGCACATCAAGACGATAGATGCGTCATAGAAGTAATACAAAGTCGACATTTCTCAAATGTACATATCTTACGATAATATTGTAGAAATGCCCACTGTGCGGTCAGCTGTCTCGTGCGTGGCACACAATAATTTTAGGTAGACGATTCCTCATGTTTATTCATCGTGGCACACATGTCTATTTGCATACGGCATATTTCTTGGCATTGGAAATACGTCAGAGATTTCTATACCTAATCTGGAGGAGCGCCTGGCAATTCGCTTCGTCAAATTCCACCTGGCGACTCCAAGGGGCGCAGAGTGCTTGTTTTGAATGAGATGTGAGTCACTTGGAACCCGCTTTCAGTTCAAGTTCAAGCAATAAGCTCCGAGAAGAGAGAGTATCTGAATAATTTCGGATCTGATGTAAGCGTTCTTTGGGGTTGAACACAATTTATTGTACCTTCTTCGTGGACATGCAAATTGTGTTGCCAAGTCGAATTTCGGGTAACTTCAGCAGTCCTCAGTCATAAATTAAAGTCATACGATCTACAGTCACTGCTCGCTATAAGTAACTCTGCAGTTCTTCAAAAAACGACCACTTCATTACTCACGACTCTTATCACACAAATTTCTCTATATTCGCACATTAAATTCAAATAGAGACTAACTTTCGTCGTTGTTCAGTGGATTGCTTAATCTAAAAATTACTCCGAGTTCCTTTGTACTCGTGATTAGCTGTGATTCACTATTTCCATATTTCACATAAATCACTACTGTCAAATCAGTTAAGATTAAAAACAAAAGTGATTTAACAATGCGAGATAATAAACCAATTCTTATCGCGATGATTTTGGAAACAAATGTGTACGAAACAGCTGAGAAAAGCCGAAAAATATCTAATCTCGCTAGCGAGGGCCCACTGTAATGGGGCGCAGCGCCACCTCCATTGAAGCGAATCTAAACGTAAACAAAGCCGGGGGAGATTTCCATTTGAAGTGGAGAAGTGTGGGACCCGTAAAATCGATTCCCAAATTGCCGGCCAGTAAAAGCTAGCGGGAGATAAGATCCCCTACCTGCTGTTAACTTATCTCGGAGGAGAACCATATTTATGTGGGTGACGGGCTCTTCCGTTGCACTCGAAACGCGAATCGCGAGTATCTGGAAACACGATAAATGCGTTTGGCGGAAACGAGCCGTGTTTCACTGTTTCCAGCGATAAGACACATTTACCTTTAATTATGGTTAGCACTCAGCAAACACCCAGCAAGCGCGATAATCGCACCGCCTGATCTTTGCCAGCCTGGCATATGGATCGCAGGCCAAGTTCGCAATCAGCTCGGCCCCACTTCATCATAATACAACATTTGTACGGACTACATATTGTACGTATTTTCTTCAGACAGGGTAAGGCTAACACTGCGATCACGAAATGTGTGGAAGTGCTAGCAAAATTAGAAATCGCGTGATTTAATATATTATGTATATATATAATAATATAATATATAATATAATAATGTTTGCAAGTGGAAAATGTACAAAGGCAAGTTGTTTTAAATCGCCGATTCACCCTTAATGATAAAAAGTTAGTAACATTGTTCATGTCACTACGAAAACCGGATGTGTTCAGAGCACTACATACAACAAATTAAATTAGATCATCCGGGGATCGTATTTTTTAATACAACACCTATTGTTCACTATTTCACTCTTTGGACTATACACTGTCTAGTTTTGGCCAACACTTCCTAGCAGTCTAAAGAACTATGGCGAATCTCTGGGCAAATAGATGATTTTGGAGTTTGCTTTTTGGCTGCTCGTTCGCTTTTGGCCAACAGCAAGAGGTTGAAAGTACAGTTCTGGGTCTGAACACAAACCCACAGAATATGAACGACTACATCGGGCTTTATTCAAATCTCCGTGCGTACGTACGAGTGCTTTCACCGTTGATAAGCTGCGATCGGTGGACAATTATAGACTGATCGTGGGTTGTACTCTATAGTACACACAAGCAATTTGCAGTGATAACCTTGGGGCGTGGGCTTATCATTAATGGACTTAATGGAATACGCCAAAAAACCCAGTTGACGTCAACTTTGATTTTCGGATGCTACGTGCGAGAATGCTCTGGGAACTATCGGTCTTGGTTATTGGGAGTAGGAACTGAAGTTTAGGCACAGACACGTTTTTCTGGGGCACCCTACTTAGCGTTTACAGCGATTTAGGGCTCCCAGGCGGGCGATAAGATTGTCTAATAGAATTGCACAATGCCAACTATGTATGTATGTATGCCTCTCTTTCTCAGTCGCCTACGCACCGAATACGAATTTCATTGAGCAGCCGAAACAGCTGACTCTGATAGTGCGTGTGATCTCTCCAAACACGCGCGTGCACTCTCTCGCTCTTCGCTTTCTGTCCCCCGCTCTGTTGTGTTTGGCTGGAAAAGAGCGACCACGCAACGCAACACAACGGTAAAAAGGCGCTTGGGAAAGTGGAGCACGTAGCGTGACTAGCACTTGCCCCATTGGAATGACGCTGCCGCTGGGGAAATCGTACGATCGCAGGGCAAAGTGCGGCCCCAAATGACGCGTCACCGAGAGAGAGGGCGGCGGGGTTTCACCTGCTGCAAGTTCCGACACGAAAAATCATACGACAAGCATGACGTGGCGACGTCCAATTAATGGCGTCGTCTTGCCGGCTGCAAAAGGCGAGAAGGAAAAAATCGATAAGCGGCGGCAGCGCAGCAGCTGTTCGTCGCGGGGAATAAACAGAGTGAGCAGAGCAGGAGACGGTGATTATGTAAACAAGCCTTGAGGAGCCAGAATCCAAAACGCACATTTGGCCCCTGATGAACAGCAAGAGAACAAGCTTTCGCTTACTCCCTCTCTCGAACTGCTCACGTCATCCTTGGCGGCAGCGTGAATGTGTCTGCATCTCCCAGTGACCCGCATTGAAAAGTCGCACCGAACCAAAATAGTTTCCACTCTCCACTTACTTTCCACTTTCTTCCAACTCGGAACGGTTCTTTCGATTATCGATTGGAGCTGCTTCCTTCTTTTCTCTGCTTGTCTAAGCAAATCTTGGTTTTCAGACGGAATGACACACACACGAAACGCGGACCACAAGTCACTCCACTCGGCCTGCTAACAATTCGTTTGTTGTTCGTCGTGCACAAACACAATTTCGAATAACGCAAGGGAACAAAAGTTCTTAGAGGTGGTATTCCTTTCGATAGCATCGATGACGCCTAGGGAACCGATAAGTTATCGAGTACTCTGTCGAATACTCGAATAAGCTATCGAATTAGTTTAAAAACACAAATGGAATTAAGTTTAAAATTTTATAGAATGGCAAAAAATTAAAAAATGTTTAAATAAATCCAAAATAACACTGGTTTTAAAATTTAAAATCTTATGGGGAACAAACATTACCATGTGAGATTTGTCATATTTTAGAAAATCTTGCTGCAAAATACACGCAATGAGCTTAAAAATTATTTTGTTTTTAATCGCCGTCGAGGTATTACGATGTAACACTTTTTCTTCAGTCTGACCACCTTCTTCCCTTTAGTGCAATCAGTCATTCGGGATAGGTCTTCGTGCTTTTATCCTGGAGGCTCATAATCGACGGAGGGCTAAGTACGGAAATCAACCGATGGTTCTGGACGAAGATCTCTGTCAGCAATGCTCAGAATACGCAAAGGCAAGTCTCTATGACTATATATCGAAATTTTTGAAAACCCGTGGATTGTGTAAAAATAGTTATTTAACAGTCTCTATCATCTAGCAAATAGTCAAGACTGACGGTGTATACAAGGAGGACTACATGTCAAACTTGCACGCAACGGGTCCAATTACGTCCAAGCATATTCAAATCGTGTGCCTTTTTCGGGATGCCTACCCAAGAGATTGTGTTCGAGATTGGTTTCACTATCGAGGCTTCGCTGATAACAAAAAGTATTACAAATTTACGGCCATGATATGGAACGCCTCCACCAGACTTGGCGTTGGGCTAGGGAGAATGTGAGTAACTTTCATAATTACCCCTGAATGGCGAGTCCAGGACGATCTTCCGCAGCCAGGAAACGAGATACCTAGTGGTGAGATATGCTCCTCCTGGAAACATCTTGCAAGAAATGGAGTCTAATGTTCCAAAGCGACCAACAATATTTTGGGATTCGCAAGACATTATAGCTGATTTCCTCGAGTCCACACTTCCATCAACATCTGTACTCAATGGTGTCCGAAATATTTTTGGTAACTGGCTGTGCTATGTTACGACCTTATTAAATTTATATCTGCGCGGCACGTCCAGGATTTTGTAGATTTTCATGATATATTTGGAGTAAATTCCATGCTTGTAATCATAAATTTCATTTGCGTATTTATTGACTTTCAGGGTCTTAAGGTAGTGTCTGCAAACGTGTTTGGCTAAAGTGTAAAAATAAAGCTTGATTATAACATAAACACCTTTGGATTAATCTCATTTAACTCACTGCTCAAGTACCAAAATATATTCTAATATACAAAATATACGCCATAAGTTGGTCGTAATAAAAAACAAAGATTCTTTGGTAAATCAACTAAATTAAAAGCTACCGTTGAAAATGGAACTCAGGAGAATTGACTGGATTCGGTTTTGGATTGGGACCTTATCTACTAAGCTACACACACGCATACGTTTCAAATATATGTAGATTTCTGAACAACATTTTAGAATTTGTTATAGTAAACTTGTTAATTGCACAGTAAATGTCTTTAAAATTCGATTGCGTCGATGACAAGGAATTTTGTTCAACTTTGGCTTCAGTGTTCCCGGGACTGGCATCCATCCATCCATCCATCCCCCCTAAAACGTTCAGCGTTTGACTTGGTTTCTTGGCAAGCTGTCGGGTCGAATGGCAAGTGGTTAGTGGCTAGGCTTGGGATTATAATTAGGATTAGAAATAGGTGTAATAGGGGGAAGGAGTTCCTCCGCTTCGTATTAAAAGCTAACAACGAATTCGAGAGTTCCGAGATTCCTCAAGAGCATATGTATGTGAGTATTCTCTAGGTCACTGGTTGCAAATGTCCGTGGGTCCGTGAGGTGTGGCATGAGTATTGCGGTGCGAGCGATGCATCCGGTCCTCAGCATTGGGACGCTATGCGAATGCCCTGTGTGATTGAGTTTTCCAGCACGATGTGGCAGTCGTCCAAGGGCTCCAGGATTTGGATGAGAAAGGTGAGTAGGTTGCGACGCCGAAGGAAGCTTTCCTCCTCGTACATCTCGTGCGTTACTTTGGTCAGAGCCATAGGCTTTATCAGCCGCGTCAGCAGATGCTCCCGCAGGCTCAGGCAGATCAGCAGCTGGAACTTTCCGTCCTTGCCGAGTGCTGTTCCGTTGATCTCGTCCATAAGCTGTACGTACAGACGCCAAATGCTGGAGATTTCTCGGCGTTGCAGACTGTTTCCTCCGCTGCCGCTTCCATTGCTAAACGAGGAGTCCAAGCTAGAGGATGAGTCCTCCAGCTCCATCTGCAGATTTTGTTCGAACAGCTCCTTAATTTTAGCTGTTAAGTTAAAAAGTAATGATTAAGCAGGAAAATATAGGGAATTTAGAGTCTATATCTCTTACTGAAATAGTCCCAGATGTACAGATTTCGTCCAAAGAAACGCGACGACCGGAAGCCGCAGAGGAAGACCTGCTCCAGACACTTGACCAATCCATCGTCCCCGCACAGCAGGTTGGTCAGTGTGCCCACATCCCGATCCCGGCTGGGTTTGTAATGCCACTTGACCAGCACGTTGACGCAGTTGCCCAGCTGGTGCTGAATCTCTGAGGGCGCCAGTGTCTCCTGGCGCTGCACACTGGGGCTCCGCGTCCGTGGAGGGGTGCGAGTATCAGATCCAGGAACCAGCTCGGCATTCTTCGCATTCGTCGAAACACGTTGGCCCACCAGCAGGCGCTCCGTGGAGTCGTCATCCACGCCTCGGCCCAGCCAGCGTCCACAAGGGAATCTTTTTGGGGAATAGAAATGTTGTGTTAGTCAGGGTTTATGTTTGACCGACTTGCTGTTAGCTCACTTGTAGGTGTGGCCGGTGACCTCATTGCGCATCACCACCTGCTCAACGAGCCACTTGTGGCTGGGTCCCGAGTTGTCGTGTCCAATGCGCATGGTTGTCAGTAGGCCAAGGTTCTTGTACTGCAAGTGAAAGGGAATCGAATAAGTGGTTAGAAAGGGTTTTTGGCTGGAGTGGAGAGCGCAGCAGGAAATTTAAAAACAGCACGTCTATCAGAATTTACGATGCACAACCCACAGACTTACATGGAAGATGAACTCCAAGGATCCCTTCGGCACGGGCACCCGTTGTGTCTCGTTCATGGTGCCTGAGACCATGATCCAGACGTTGCTGGAGGTGTGGTAGGAGCCGTACTTGCGGGAGGGGAAGATCACGACGCGGTAGGGCAGCTCTGTGGGCGGGAAAGGGATGAGAAACCAAGAGGAGTGTGAGCACAGGCAATATATTGGACTGCTAGCGTGACCTACTCGTCGTGGGGTAGATGTTGGTGAAGCTGAAGTAGTCCACCGTATTCAAAGTGAGCAGATGGTAGAGAAACTGCTCCTTCTCCTCCTCGCAGCGCAAGAAGGCCGATCGCTTGTACAGAGATCTCAGCAGAGCTTCATCGGAGAGCAGGGTACGAAAATGCCTGGACAGCAGCTTCTTCTCTAGCGACAGACGTACCCATGCGCGGGTATAGCCTATGTGCGTCTTGATATCCGCCATGGCCAGCACATTTCTACAGGGGCAAGCATTTGAATTTCGTTACTCAGGGAAGCAGATTCCATGATATGCTACTTACTTCACATCGAACTCCAGGGACTCGGGAAGTGGGCACAGCTGCTCCAGGCCCACGAATTTGTTCCGATCTCGCGAACGACTGCGATTCGGACTGGGCGGACTGTCGAAGTCCGTTTGGAATGTGGAGAGATCTGGCAATACAGATAAGACATTGAAATGCCATACAATTGAATGCAACTACAACTCCACTTACAGTCCATGCGCTTGCGCATTGCGTTCCAGGCCAGAGCAGGCGATGCTGTGGCGATGGTCATCTTGCTGCCCGGACTGCTGGATACCGGTGGAGTCTGCTCCGCTCCGCAACTGTCGCCAGCACCTCTGGCCTCTTGCATCTCCAGATAGGCCTGCAGATGGGCCCACAGAGCAGATTTTCCCTGCTTGTTTTGCAGGCCGTGCGACCAGATCTTCTCCAGCAAATCGCACATGCTGGCTATCAAGGTGTTCTCCTCAATGCCGTCGCCTTTGAGGCCCAGCGCTACTGCCTCATTACCCATTTTCTCAAGCAGCATCCGCTTGGTCTTGGACTTTATATCCTACAACAGGCCACACATAGGCATTATTATATTTGATAACTAATCATTCAAAACACACCTTCAGCAATCGCTCCACAAACGTCCAGTTGGCCTGGGCTATTAGGGCCGGACTCACGTCCGCCGTGGTCAGGTTCGCCGACAGTCGGTTGATGGCGTTCGAGCCAGGCTTCTGGTCCAGCGAGATCTCCCGGGCCCGCCACTTGTTGCCGTTCTTCACCCGTCGCAGGCTGTTGCCTCTGTTGGGGATTCGGATGCGGAATCGGAGGCGGATTCGGATACGGTTTTTGGTTGAGGTTGGTTGTTTGATGGATGTTAGCGCGAATGAGTTTGAAGATCGTTTTGAGTTTAGTTTGAATTTCGAACGAGAATAAAGAGACAGCGGATTAATGGGGATTCCGAAGGGGGCTGGAGGACGAGGTGGATGGGGTGGATGGGTGAGCGGGTGGAGGAGAAGCAGGCGGTGAGCTGTGGGCAGTGCATGCGGTGCAATTTACGGCGGGAGAACGAAACAAATCAAACGAAAAGAAGAGTCTCGGTTAACGATTGGAGAATGCAGAATTTATTGTTAAGTGGTATGCACTAAGAGAAACAATACGAATACGAATAGAAATAAAAATATGATACCAAGGGAATAATGTATCCAGTGTAAAACGCGCGCTTTGATTCGATTTGATCTAATTTGAGCTAACAAAGGTACAGGAAATACATCTACGTACAACTAGGAGTCTATGGTATCTATAACTAACATTTAGGTAATATCAAACGTTTGTCAGCCTTTCTGGGGCCAAGGTACACTTATCCCCGATGGGGATTCTGGTTATAGGATGAGTGCGGGGGTTAAGGATGGGGACTGGTGGTTGGTCTTAAAGCAGGACGTGCTCTACGACTAACTATACAACAGGGGAACTTAGAGAACTAGGCGACTAGGGCAACTACCTCGAGGCGCACTCCTGGTTGAGCACGCCCTTCTCGAGCAGCGGAAAGCTGCGGAAGTAGGCCGCTCGGTTGGCCAGAATTTCGCTGGGCGGCGTCACCTCGATGTCGATGCAGTTGAGGCGCTTCTCGAAGCCCTGCTGCGAGTCCTGGCTAAGCACGCACGGCTCGTAGCTGGTGGCGGCAATCATGTTTTCCCCGTGTCGTCGCCTGAAGTGTTCGAATATAAGAAGAAAATGTGTTAACATGTGATTATAATAAGTTGCTGCACAATGTTATCATTTGGAATATCTTCAAAGTAAATCCGGATTTTTTTATTACAACTTTAGCGACTTACCTCAACAGTTTCACGCGCTGGTCGAACAGCTGAAGCTGTTCATCGGGATGCGACTCCCACATAGCCAGGATCTTATTGTCGATTAGGGTGGCAAACATCTGAGATTCAAGAAAGCGCGAAAGAAACGCGCGATGGTGCTCCGGCTGGTCGGACAGAAACGAGGATTTGTCGAAGTTCTGCAGAGTCTCACGGTTTGAGATCCATTCGTCCCGAGCCTGGTTTGGGTAGATAACAAAGTACTCGTAGGCATGGAACATGTGTACGAATCGGTTGAGGAAGATCTCCCGCACCGAGTTGTTGATCCGCAGGTCCTGGTAGTACTGATCCACAGGGCTTAGCTTTTGTTTCTCTGCGCGACGAGTACTGACTGGCATGGTGGCGTCCACTGCGTCTACGTCATGGTAGATGCCAACTGGCGAGGAAGAGAGCGAGACGGTGGGACTACCCACCGGAGAGCCAGCTCCCCTAATACCTCCCTTCCTACGCAGAAAGTCAGCGATCCGTGGCACATGATCGATTCGTGATGGATGCGCTATGAGCGGTTGGTAGTCAACGACGCCACCGCCTGGCGATCCTGCCAGAGTATAGACGGTCTCCTGCATCTGATGAAAGCGCTCCTTGCTTCGCCGAGCCGCCTGTAATCCGGTGGGCAGGGTGCAGCTGGAGATCATGGCATCGACACCA